CTCCGGTTACGACTTGTCTTCTTCAGTAGTAATGTTCGTGTTCTCCTCCGCCTCCTTTGCTGAGAGCTTATACTTCTCCATCAGATCAATCAGTTGCTGACTGGCCGAGGGCTGCCCTGGTTTGTGGGCGCTTCGCTCCTCGTCAGGGAAACGCTTGCCGAGCAGGTTCGTGGGACGATTGAGGAAGGGCGTCCACACGCCCTGGACGCTGGGCGTGAGAACGTTGTTGTTGGTGATCAGCTGTGATAGCTCATAACCGGACCTTTACCGAAGCAATGACAACAACAACAGTGGTAGATATGATCAGACAAACAGAGGACAACAAAGAATGACAACAAGGACAAGAATAGAACAACGAACTTACCTCGTTCTCAGCGTCTCCAGCCACCACTGAATCTCCGTGGAGGAGAAGTTGCGAATGCTCATCCACTGCGTCTGGCCGTTCAGGTAGTCGGCGGTGATCACCGGCGACCGGTGGTGGCGAGGCTTGATGTACAGGGCGACGCCCGGATTCTGCCGCGAGAAGTCCAGCAGGCCGTTCTCCACGTAGTCGCGGACGCCCCGCGAGGACTGGCTGTTCTTGCAGAACTTGATTGTCAGCCGCTGCAGCTGACAGACGTACCTGATGGTGGTTAAGAAAAAGAAGAGGAAATTGTGGTTTCATTTCATTTCGAAATATGAAAATCAGAAAAAGCAGGCTTCTCTCCTTACCGGCCGACGCCGTTGTAGTAGGCATTGCGGATGTACCCCACCGGCAGCGACTGGTCCTCCACCACCCGAGGACAGAGACTGAACTTGATTAGATCACGAACTTTCATCTGACGAGCCATTCCTTTGCTTGGGTAAATGGTAAAGACAATTGCCAGTTTTTGAAGGACTCCTTTGGAGGATGAAAATCAAAACACGATCGATCACATGGTTTTCTGGTTTTTCGGTAAGCGCCGCAAGACGGCAGCACGAGTTTGATGACACGAGCGTGGGTTTATTTTGAAACGCAAAAACAAAAGTTCCAAAAGTTAGAATCCAGCTGCAATTCCTACTGAATTTCAGCTGGATTCTGCTTCGAAAAAAGAAGCAGAAGAGATGGGCGACGACAAGGACTACTACTCAGTTCTCGGCTGTGAAAAGGACGCCTCAACGGAGCAAATCAAGAAGCAGTACAAGAAGCTGGCTTTACAGGTAAGATTGATTCTGCCAGGGTAATTCTGTAGGTTTCTCACCAAAATCTCATTCTCCTTATCATGACTTAGCTTCATCCTGATAAAAGTACCTCCGACACAGGTGCTGACTTTAATCTACTAAGCAAAGCCGCCTCCACGTTGACTGACGAAAGGGAAAAGCACAAGTACGACACTTCGCTTTTAGGTAAGTCTGGTTTGTCCCATTTTGGATTGTTTTGATCTCGATGTTGATGTTTACATCTTTTTTTCGTTACAGAGAAACGAGCAACGTGCAACAAGATCGTCAATGACGAGGTAAACTGCGACGACTTTTCACACGACGAAGGTAACGATGCAGATGCTCTTCTTTTGATCCTGTTGCTGTTTTACAATTTCGAAATTCCTCTTTTTAGAAACGCAAAGCTACCTCTTCGACTGCCGATGCGGTGGACAGTTTGTGCTGGGCAAAGACGAGTTTACCTCAATAGCCAAAAGTCAACTGGTGGACTGCAACAGCTGCTCGCTGAGCATTCTCGTCATCAGCAGCAGATGACCACCATCACAAAACTGTGATTCATTTTCAGTTTTACTTTTTATGAACAATAAAAGGGATTATTACAAAACTAATTCATCATTTCCGCCGTTGTTGGATTGGCCGCCTCTTTCAGACATTAATAATTACACTAGCTTTCATTTTTCTGTGTGTGGTGCTTGATAATACGCGATTACAAAGTGTCCTCTTTCAGTGTTGTCCTCTTCAAGGGTTGGCGGCGACAAAGGAGGCGAAGAAGTCGGTGACCACGGTCTTCAGCTTGGCGTCCACCTCGTCGGAGATTTTGCCCTCGCTGGCGATCTTGCCGAGCAGGTCGGTGTGCGAGGTCTTCATCAGCTGGAGGAACTCCTTCTCGAACTTGCCAATCTTCGCCGGGTCGAGCTTGTCGAGGTAGCCGCGCACGCCGGTGTAGACGACCGCCACCTGGTCCTCGATGGGCATCGGCACGTACTGGCCCTGCTTCAGCAGCTCCGTCAGGCGGACGCCCCGGTTCAGCAGCTGCTGGGTGGCCGCGTCCAGGTCGGAGCCGAACTGGGCGAAGGCGGCCACCTCACGGTACTGCGCCAGCTCCAGCTTCATCGAGCCGGCCACCTGTAAACAATGGACGAATCAGTTGAGCAATAGTTAAACATTTAAAAGATCAAAAGCGATCACTTGCCTGCTTCATGGCGCGGGTCTGGGCGGCAGAGCCGACACGGGACACCGAGAGGCCGACGTTGATGGCCGGGCGGATGCCCTTGTAGAAGAGCTCCGTCTCCAAGAAGATCTGACCGTCAGTGATGGAGATGACGTTGGTGGGGATGTAGGCGGACACATCACCGGCCTGAAGGAGGAAGAAGAAGAAGAAGAAGAAGAAGGGAGTGGTGCGTAAGCGTTTCAGTCCCACAAAACACAAGGTCAAAGAATCCACTCACCTGGGTCTCAATGACGGGGAGGGCGGTGAGCGAGCCGCCGCCAAAGGTCTCGTTCATCTTGGCGGCACGTTCCAGCAGGCGGGAATGCAGGTAGAAGACGTCACCGGGGTAGGCCTCACGACCCGGGGGACGACGCAGCAGCAGAGACATCTGACGGTAGGCGACGGCCTGGAGGAGAGGGGAGAAACGTTGTTAGCCTACCATCAATCAGAACAAACACCAAGTCAGCCCTTTACCTGCTTGGACAGATCGTCGTAGATGATGAGCGCGTGCATGCCATTGTCGCGGAAGAACTCGCCCATGGCGCAGCCAGAGTACGGCGCGAGGTACTGCAGCGGGGCGGCGTCAGAGGCGGTGGCCGACACGACGATGGTGTACTTCATGGCGTCGGCGTCGGTCAGCCGCTTCACAATCTGCGCCACGGTGGAGCGCTTCTGGCCGATGGCGACGTAGATGCAGAAGAGCTTCTTCTTGTTGTCGTCGCCCTCCATCCACCGCTTCTGGTTGATGATGGTGTCGATGGCGATCGCCGTCTTGCCCGTCTGTCGATCGCCGATGATCAGCTCACGCTGGCCGCGGCCAATCGGCACCAGCGAGTCGACGGCCTTGATGCCCGTCAACATCGGCTCGCGCACGCTGATGCGCGGAATAATGCCGGGCGCCTTCACGCCGACACGGGCGCGCTTGCTGGTCTTGATCGGGCCCTTGCCGTCGATGGGGTTGCCCAGGGCGTCCACGACGCGGCCGAGCAGCTCGGCGCCGATGGGCACGTCGACGATGGCGCCCGTTCGCTTCACAATGTCGCCCTCCTTGATCAGCTTGTCGTTACCGAAGACGACAATGCCGACGTTGTCGGGCTCCAAGTTGAGAGCCATGCCCTGGGAGGGAGTGAAGAAGAAATAGAATAGGGTGAGTCAGAGCCGTTTCACCTTCACCTCGTCACCACTTACCTTCAGACCGCTGGAGAACTCCACCATCTCCTCGGCCTGGATGTTCTTCAGACCGTAGACGCGGGCAATACCGTCACCGATGGAGAGGACACGGCCGGTCTCGTCGAGGCTGGCAGAGGTGCTCTGGCCCAGGATGCGCTCCTCGAGGATGCTCGAAATCTCGGCACCGCCGCATCGAGGCGCCGATGTGTTGATGTTGCGGACGGCCACATTGGCGCAGATCGGCGTGTAGACCTTGGTCAACTGCAACAAAGAAGAAGATTAGTTGACACTCCAGTTGGAACACCCCAACAATGACATACGTTCTTCAGGGCGCTGCTCTTCGAGGCGGCCGACTTGGTCAGGTTGAGCGAGCGGATAGCAAGTGAACTCATTGCCATTGTTGGTGGTACTTTGCTGACACAGGTGCTGTAGAAAGAAGGAAGGTGAGGGGAAAGGTGAATTTCACTAAGCGAGTAGGATGGCACAGAGGAGGATCGCGGTACTCCAAGGTCTTGCCAGGCTGTAGCGGAGGACTTACCGAGGACAGAAAGTGAAGAAGTGAGTGCTGGTGGTGGTGGTGGTGGTGAAAGAGATAGCTGAAGAAGAAGAAGCAGTCGCCGGCGTTGGTGCTAGTGCTAGCGGTGGTGGTGGCGGTGGCTGATGCTGAGCTTGCCAATGTCGAGCTCTCCTCGGTGCCTGCTTTTAGCCTGCTTTCCGCGATGCCTCGCTCTCCTCGTCATAAGGTGACCGCAGCAGCGGCCGCCCTGCGCATGACCGACGGCGGTCTGCACCGGGGGGCAGTCGCAGATGACGAGCGGCAAGCCATTTTTATGCCTGATTCAAGCGACTGTAAACCTTGACTTTTTGGGCTAGGAACCTACAGCAAAGTTCCTGGAACCTCTAAACGCCCCCAAACAGTTTGAAAATAAGTAAAACACAGAGAGTGCGTTTTGTTGACAAGCAGTGTTATTGCTGATCTGAAGTACAAATGAGTGGCGGAGAGTATATTATACAAAGAGTAGAAGTAGAAATAAGGCAAAACAGAAAAGAAAAAAGAATAACTAGTAAAACTGATGTTGAAAAGATGTTGTAGAGTAGAGTACTTGAAGTAGTAGATGTTGTAGCAATAGTAATGCTGTAGGTAGGTAGTTGAAGTCGAGTAGAAGAAAGTCTCGTAGTAGTAGCGGGCCAAAGAGTGTAGAAGTCGGAGACAACTGGTGAACTTGCGTGTGTGTGATAGTGTAAAAGAGCAAGGGAAAGTGATGATGATGTCGATGATGATATAATGGGGAGAAAGGAGAGAGAGAGAGAGAGACTACCGATTCAATAGAAAGTGCAGAATAAGTGATGAGGAGGGGTCTCGGAAGAGAGAGAGTTCACACAGCGAGAGAGAATAGAGAGCATATAGGGAGCGCATATGAGAGCAGATTGAAGTGGGGGCCGCTGACTAATACTGCTAGACAGTAATTGTAGGTGTGATATATGGGATAAACATGATGAGTAGGGGTAGAAGTTGAGTTGAGTTGGGTGTGGTGTGTGGTGGTAATAAATAGAAGTAGCAATAAATAGTCGGTAGTGGAAAATGGGAGCATGCAGTGTATGTACAGTGAAAATGCCAATGGGGTGTGTGTGAGAGGGGCACTGACCATTGCTCAGTGCTGCTGCTGATGCTTTCATGCTATTTACATTGGCGGTCGGCCGTTGCGGGCGTCCTCAAAGCCGCGCATCTTCAGCTCTCGATCCCTTTGCCTAGTTATTGGGAAAGAAAATTAGAGATGACATTGTGAAATTCAGAGGTACCACCACCCCTTTACCTGAGGTACTCCTCCTGCAGTTGGAAGGCCTGCTGTGCGTGCGGCATGTGCGAGGAGGCGGCGGCGAGGTGAATCAGCCGTTCCCGTTCCAGTAGGGCCTGTCGCTGCAGTTGCTCATGCTGCATGACCGCCTGTGCGGAGAGCTGCCAAAGGAGAAGAGTATTGTGTTGGTCAGTCAGAGGACTAGTAGTGGAGTGATCATCAAATGGGGAGGATCGATTGGGATGGTTTTGGTGACTTTGAATAAACTGAAGCTGCTGCTGCTGGTGAATTTGTTCCTGTTGGTACAGTTGCATTTGAAGCTGATTTCGGAGCTGACTCTCATTGACCTGACTCTGACTGCCCTGCATCTGTTGCTGCATCTGTTGTTGCTGTTGTTGTCCATCACCACCGAAAGAAGAAGGAAAACTCACCTGATGCGAGAGCTGATCTTCAAAGGAGCGAAAGAGGGAGGCCTGCTGGGCGGCGGCCACGGCGGCCGCCTGCAGCCCTCCATCAGGGCGGGGCATGATAGAGGGCGGACGGGAGGGGTAGGCGGCACCGCCGCCCCCACCGCCGCCGGCTCCACCCCCTCCGGCACCGCCAGCTGATGCGGCGGCAGCCGCCGCCGCCGCCGCCTGCTGCTGCATCAGCGAGTGACCGGCGGCCATTGCAGCGTGCATCGCCGCCGGGTCAAACTGCGCCCCCGGCGGCAGGCCCATGGCGGCGGCCGCTGCTGCTGCCGCTGCAGCGGCGTTCTCGCCGGCACTTGAGCCCGGATGGGGCATTCTGTAGGGTCCGGAAATGTTAGGAAAAAAGTTTAAACTTTAGCATGAGTTCAGAATACTCTTACCCCTGTCCTCCGGCGGCCATGGCGGCCGCGGCCGCCGCCGCTGCGGCATGCTGCGCCGACAGTCCCGGGTGCGTCTGGAAGAGGTTGTGCGCCAGCTCCGGATTGAGGCTCATCTGCAGCCGCAGAAGCGGGTCCATGCTGGCGGCGAAGCGGGCCTCCGCCTGGTACCGATCGGCGCCCGCCTGGACGGCCATCGCCGCCGCCATCTGCTGCATCTCCAGGGCGGCCCGAGCGTCGCCCGGCGGCTGGAACATGAAGGGATTCAGGCCGGGCGGTGGCGGCGGCGGCGGGAGTGAGCCTGGCTGGCCACCGGGGCCTCCAGAGCCTGGAGGACCACCGCCGCCATTATTTCCGCCAGCGGAGGATAGTCTGTTCAAAACAACAAATGTGGTTAGTTGGCTGTGACTCCAAAAACTACCAAGTCAGCCCAGTCCACCCCTTCTTACCCTCCATTGGCACTGCTGACGATGCTGCTGACATTGCTGCTGGTGGGCACCACGCCGCCCAT